AAAGAAAGAAAGAAAGAAAGAAAGAAAGAAAGAAAGAAAGAAAGAAAGAAAGTAAGAAAAAAAGAAAGCATGCATCATGAAAGAAAAAAAAATGGACCAAGAATCGGATTTCTGACACAGTAACCTAGACAGCTGGTGGAATTACCAGTAGCCGGGGGTGGAGGCTGAAAGGTGAGCGGCTTCATCTGCCTAGTGCTGGGTCTAAGGTGGCAGCCAGGTGCTCATGAGTGGAAAGGGTCCCAGAGAGAAGAGATAAGCTTGGACATGTGTGCTACTGAGAGCTGTCTGTCCCATCTGTTGATCTCCAAAGCATGTGTCTACGAGGAACCAAAATCCAGCTCACCCTGACCCAGAATGTGCTATGAGTATAAACACACTAAAATTTTGAAAAAAACAAATGGGAGAGGGGGGTCTTTGTTTTAGATAGACACCCCCCCTCATAACCTAGGGAAGCCTTGAACTCACAATCCCTCAGTCTCCTAAGTCCTGGAATTATAGGCATGAACCACCATGCCCAGGGCATGACTTTGAAGATTTTGTATGAAAATAAATTGTGCAAGTGGGAGTATCTACTTTCTCAAATGTACCTACCAGAAATTGAAAGTTGCATATATGCTTTCTGCTTTACTTCTATTAGATATGATGGACTCATGACGTACATGGTCTTACCTATTCATCCTCCAAACCTTATAACATTGTAGTTTGAGACAGTCACTGCTGCTCTGTCTGGTCTTAAAACTCCTATGGATAACCCAGGCTGGTCTAATCTCTAGACCCTCCTACATCAGGTTCCCATATCTGAGAATTCCAAGCACTTCAGTGTCTTGCTGTAGCATTACTTTTTATGGAAGAAAATACGAGGTCTATAGAATCACATAGTTAAATATGGGGCTGAGACTCAAACTCAGGAATGACACTAGATCACATCAACTTAGAAACAAGCCGTTCTCTCAAGTTACTAAGTGGTTACAATTTAAATGGTGGAAGTATCAATCCATTAGCATGGTTCCTTGTCAGAGTTAGTGATAGCCTAATCTTATTCCTAATTGAAAACCAAAACAGGTAAACATGTTATATGTGACTCCCGATGTGTGAAGAGCTACTGATGATGCTCCCAGTCTCACTCTCTTGGGCTAACAATGTCTCCATCACACTGGCAACCCCACCTACCTCTCCTCAAGTCAAATGGCCCACATCTAACTGTCCAGCAGAGAAAAACATCATCAACACAACCCTGAACAGAAGGGCCCTGGTTTCTGAACGTGACTGGATATGTGACACAGGCACACTTCACACATCTCCAGCAGGCTTTCAGCCCATGGCATCTGAACTTCCCCAAGAAAAATGCATTTCCCTCAACCCTTCACTGAAGAATCAAAATGCTGAGCTTACCCAGCTGGTTAAGTTAAGAATATACCAAGTCTGTACTGCGCTTCCCTCCTGTAATCTCATCACTCAGGATGCAGTGCCAGGAGGATTGAGAGTTTGAAGCTAGCCTGAACTATGAGGCTGAATCAATCAATCAATCAATTCAAGAAACAAAACCTTCTTCCTTTTTCACTAGTATGCTAACAGTAAAATCTTCTGCAAATATGAACTGAAATACAAAATTAAGCACCATTAATGTATGTTTAGTTCGTTGGTTTTAATTTCAAAAACAACACTTTCATTTCTACTACCTATCTGAACAAGACTAACTGAGCACCACCAGACTGTACAGTCTTAACTCTATCATCTTCAAATTTTCTCATGTAAATGCCCTCTAGGCAGTTCATCTCCGATTATAATAAACCCACTTCCCTTCACTGATCACAGACCACTGACACACGCTGACACCGTGCAAGTGGGGGAAAAGGAAGCTTGAATAGTTTTACTTTTTGCAATAAGACTAGTTAGCAGAGACATCTTGGCATGGGTGAAGAAGAATGTATCACCTGACCCACTTATGAACCCAGCTCCCCCGACCCCCCATCCTTTCATGCCTCTCTGACCCATTTCTCAAACGTGATATCTTTTGATTTGAACACAGATTTGAAAATGCTTACTGAGCTTGCAATGATATAGTATAAACCTTGTAATGCTTGCCCTTGTCTGCTTCAGGTTACTGTCCACTGACTTTCACTGAGTTGAAGTATTCTTGGAAGTTTTCCCTAACTAAAATTTCTGTCTACTGTAGAACAAAGATTCAGAACCTAGAGAGAGTGAGAGAGGAAGAAAGAGCCAGTTAGCACTTAAAACGCTCTGTCCACTCAGAAGATATCCGGAGTCTCAAGTGGCTGAGGAAGCATGAAGCGGCCACCAACATTCTGATCAGTGTGTCCCTCCTGCCCAAGAGAAGAGCGTGTCTCTCCTCCCACACTGCCCTTTAGATTCTGATCGCTCCTATTAACTGGACAGATCTTGTAGTATTCACTTCAAGGAGACTGCCGTCTCCTACTTAGCATAGCATTAAGTACTTTCCTTTACTTTTTTTTTCTTTTTTAAATAAATGGTGTGTACCAGGCACTGCTGACAAAGACTGTTCACCAAAACTTGCATTTTGGTGAGGAAGACATTCAATACACTAAAAAACCAGATTATAGCATGCTTAAATAGAGAAAACGAAATGGGGGGGCGGGAATATAAGAAAAGGGTGGACTGGAATTTTAGTGCTAAGACAATATCCAACCAAGAAGAGACGGTGAGCCGAAAACAGTGTGGGAAGAGGGGGCAATCTAGGGCTGACCCGTGTCAGGTGGGACGAGGAAAGGGGCATGCCCTTCACATATTTAGCAAGCCCTGAAGTGGAGGCGAAAAGACAAAGACCAATGAAGACAAATGCGGATCTGAAGACAAACGCAGGATTTGCGGATTTCTTTTCTTTAACGGGGAGGTGGTTTTTTGAGACAGGGTGTCTCACCGTGGCCCAGGCTGGCCTCGAACTCTCGGCAATCCTCCTGCCTCAGCTCCCTTAGGGCTGGGATCGCTGCCTGCCCAGGACCGGCTAGCTCCCTGCGAACTCAGCAGCGCACCGTCTCCGCCTTTGTGCCCAGGCGCCGGGTTTCGCGGGGTCTCTCGGCGGGCGGCTCGGGGGAGAGCGTTGGGCCCCGGCTGCAGCGCCGACACGCCCCCGCGCCCGGTTACCCGCCGGCGCCCCGGCCCTGCGCCCGCACGCCCCAGCCCCAACGTCCGCCACCCTCCGGGACGAGGCGCGCGGCCCCACTCACTCACCATGGCCGCGCGGCCGCGATGCGCTGTCCAGGGTAGCCGCCTTCCTTCTGCGCCGCGCCACGCGCCGCCCGCGCTAGTCACTCGTCCCCGCCCCCGCCCCGCGCGCCGCCCGCCTCCCCGCCCCCCTCGGGCGCGCGCCGCGCCC